TCGGATAACGCAAGCAACGGATATCAAAGGAAGGAAAAAGAAGAAACTTTAATCGGCTCTACTGAAAAATTGCTTTTTTTGAGTTAGACCAGTCTTATTCTGGACGAGCGATTTATTAAAAAAAAAACTAGTTGTTTCAAATTAGTGCATTTAACCCTTTCAATACTGCGGGGATATATACGTCCCATATATAAGTTAAAAATTACTGAGAGTCACAAATTCCAATCAAGAAGCACAGGGACGGGATAATGCCTTACTTTAATCCATCTGTTTACTACGAGAAATCATTGCGATCGCAAATTTGGCACCAGCGCTTCAAAATGCAGTTGTTTTCAACGGCGTTCATTGTTTCTAACAGGTGTTTCTTGTTAAAATACCACTTTTCTGCTGTTATTTACAACAGTTTTTGTACATCTAACTGGTTGATAAGTTACGTGAGTGTTTAGTTTTATGCAGTTAAGTTATTACAAAAAAATCGATGTTTATTGTTGTTTTTGTAACTGTGGGACAAATGCATCTCTGCAGTAATGGCGGTTGGGATATAAACGTCCCTGCAGTATCGGACGATTATGAAGCAAAATATCTTTTTTAGGATGGCCTCATGGAGAAAAAGAAGTTTACGGCCAAATGATCTAGCAGAACTGGCGGAAAACTTGTCGGATATATCGGATATATCCGACGAGGACCGTGATCCATTCTATGATAGCGATGACAGTAGAGAACCCAACTATGAAGGCAGCTGTGATAGTAGTTTTGAAAACGACCCCGAAGAAAAAAAAAATTCCGAAGACGTGTTGTCCGACAGTGATGAGCAGTCGGAACAGGAAGACGAAAATGATACCCAGAATATTGGCGATCATCGACAACCTGATGCTGAAAGACTAGAAGAATATTTGTGGTCTGTAAACGCCGAAAACTTCCAACCAAAATATTCTATTCCACCAGAAGAAGAGTGTGTTATAGATGCTAATATACCAAGAGGCTCAAGTTCCATAGAGTGTTTTCTAAAAATATTTCCGAGGAGTCTTATTATGCAAATGGCTTATCATACCAACCAACGTTTGGAATGTCTTAGAAAATCCAAACTAATAAACCCTATAGCCCAAGAGCCCACTGCAAATTTTTACCGTCATCTGATAACGAAATGAAATATACCCCAAAAGCATGGAAAAACATTGTACTTTACCAAATGGCACCTGTGCCAATCCCTATACTGAGCAAAGTAGCTTAAAAAAATTATTTTATATTAAAAAAATCACATAAGGCATGACAGCTCTAATTTCGTTTGCCCTTAAAGTTTTCCAGAAAATAACATTCAAATATATCTTGATATATATCGTTAAAGGGAAATATTTTCTTCCTCTTAACATCGCACAAAAACATCTATCCACGATTAGTAGGTAAATATCATTAAAAATATGAATCACTGTTTGCTGATTTAAAAATTTATTTGTATGCCTATTGTTGTGATTCATTTTTACAGGTTGCCATAGAAACGACAAAAAAACTACTATGATTATGGTTTAAAATAATTGTCTAACAAGAGTTTATAAATATTATTGACTATCTCTGCAAATGGTTTATACAATACCATCCTTCTTCCATACATACATGAACATGGTTTAAAAGGTAGGTAAAAATATTAATAATTCAGGTTTAAAAGCGAGATTCGCAATGAATTAGGATTGTAATTTTCAGGGAAAACATAATTGTCGCTGTCATGTTTTATTTGATTTTTAGAATATAAAATAATTTTTTTTAACCACTTTGCTCAGGATAGGGATTGGCAGAGGTGCAATTTGGTAAAGTACAATGTTGTTACATGCTTTTGGAGCATATTTCATTTCGTTATCAGATGACGGTCGAAATTTGCAGTGGGCTCTCATACTACTACACACACGGGGGAAGTAATGATTGTTTTGGGAAGAAGTCTGGTTATGGCATACAATCGTGTCCCTTCAATGCATATGTATTGGTCAAGAAATAAATTACTTGTTAATCAGGCAATAAGGGAAAGTATATCGCGAAATCGTTTTATGCTAATATGATCCAAACTTTACTTCAACAATCCTGATAAACCACAGGATGCGTCAAAAACCTACTACATTGATGAGGTTGTTAACTGTTTGCGAAAAAAATTTCTAGAAGCCAGAACTGACAGTTCGTATCAATCATTAGATGAATCTGTGGCAAAATTCAAGGGACGCTCAAGTTTGAAGCAATATTTACCTATGAAGCCTGTGAAACGAGGTATAAAACTTTGGACAAGATGCGATGCAACCACTGGATATGTGTATGACACAAGCATTTATAGTGGAAAAGAAGTGGAAACAGTTGAAGGAACGCTAGGTGAGCGAGTTGTTTACAAGCTTTCGGAAACAATAAAAAAGCCTAATGTTGCTTTATGTTTTGATCGATTTTTTACTTCAGTAAATTTGCTAAATAATATAAAATTTCCTGCTCTTGGAACGTATATGCAAAATAGAAAAAACACTCCGAAGTTTTTGGGAAAACTAGAACAAAGGTGAATCTGAAATGGCGGGCTGTCAACAGGGTATTCTTGCAATACGATGGAAAGATACTAAAGACGTGTTGGTTATGAGTAATTGCCATGACAACACGGTGGGAATTATTCGCAGAAAAATGAAAGACCGAACCACCAAAGAATTTGAGGCAATAATTTTTTACAACGCTCACATGGGGGGTGTAGATCATGCAGATCAAATGATCTCACTATACGAACAAGATAGAAGAAGCGGAAAATGGTGGAAAAAAGTTTTTTTTCAGACTTTTAATGACTGCTGTTTATAACGCTTACATTATTTATGGAGAAGTAAATAGAAAGTAGATTCTCTATATAGAATTTCTTATAGATGTGGCGGAGAGACTAATAAGCTTGGAAAGAGCAGAAATTCCAGAGAAAAGGTCCCGTAGACAAGGTAGGCCTTCAAAGAGAGTTAAATTTCTTGCCAACATAGGTGATCACTTACCTGTTGAAAAGAGAGGTAGAAGAAGATGTGTACGATGTCAAATAAAAAAAATTGAGAAGAGAACAAAAATTGTGTGTCAAAGTTGTTTGGTACCACTCTGTATCGAGTGCTTTACTCCATATCACACCTAAATATGTGTTTATATACAATTTTTAAGTTTCATTATTATATAAGTACAGAATATTACCTTCTTTCTTCAATACTGTTAGGACGTATTTATCCCAGGCTATATTACTGCTGGGATATTAATGTCACCCAAGTCTTTTTTTCAAAAAATAGGAAATAAAAAATCTGAAAATTTATAATTGCTTTTATTTTTGCCTATTAATAATAAAAATAATACGTATTAGTTTTTACCTAATAAAGAAAAAAGTCGTATTGAAAGGGTTAAAGGAATTGGTGGAAATGAAGCAATTTACTTCTATATTTTATGAAATAATTTTTAAAACATATTTATTTATTTATTTGTTTGTTTGTTTAAGAAACAATGTTTGAGTATGTGTATTTTAAATAAACATGTATATTTTTAAATGTCTTTTTTTAGTCTAATTATATATTAGAAAAAAAAAACTAGAATACATTTCTGAAATATTACTATTTAATATTTCTAAAAGATTTCTAATTTTAATTTCAGAAATATTACTGTGAAATATTATATTTAGAGGACATTTTTACGTTGCAGGCATATTTTAGAAATGTTTCTGGGATGTTTCGTAATATTTATACACCATTGCAAATGTTTCAATGTAACATTGTTGAAATATTTCCGAAATGTGTTTGTGCTGTATGGGTATACCTATATTATATATGAAAAACAAAAAATAGGTATTAAGATATGGATGTATTTTTTTTATAGAATAACAACATAAAGGATACAAGTAATTTAATTTAATTTTTTCACATTTTTTAACTAAAAACTGTTGATGCTATTTGCAAAAATACTACAAAATCGACCGATTTCACCCTTGATGATGATACCTACCTAACACAATAAATACCTAGCACTTTTCTCTTCAGACCGCCACTGATTTAAGAAGTCTATTAGGTACCTACCTACTTCCTAGAAGATTAATAATTCCTTAAATTATGTTAGGTACCTAGCTAGGTAGATATTTTAACTACCCATATTTTTAATAATTTTCAAATTTATTTACGTAAACAACTAAATAAATATATCTTCCATGATAATCTGATAATGTCATAGGCCTATACCTAAGTACCTACAATTCCCATAAAAGAGTTAACTTAATTAGATATTTAATTCTGCTTTTCTTCATTGAATCATACCTACCCCAGATCAGGTAGGAAGCGATCCGAATAAAAACACATTATCATTATCCTGTTCTAAAAATATCATAGCAGGTAGGTACCTACATAACGGAAAAAGATCGACTTATATATGCGTTCCGTAATACCCAAGAGCAAAAAAACAACAATACTCATTACATAATCAAGTTTATCAACGTACAATACTCAATAATACGGCAAGAGAAGTACGGTATTCGCAGAACGTTGTGAAAATTATCAAGCAAAACGTAAAACTTTCCATCAAGTTCAGCAACAAGCGGTGAGTCATCGAACCAAAACAGCCAACAGCTCAACGGAAACACATAAAACGCACAAATGCTACGAAAAATACTACGAACCACGTCAGAAGATCGAGGCCGTGCTACGAGAAACATTTTTCAACCAGCAGCCGGCCGAGCTACGAGTCTTTCCAAATCCGAAAATATTTTTTGTAGCGGCTACGACTCGAGCCGGTTGAGATAAAAACCCTATCTACGGCAGAGCTGAGAGTTGAATCTCGCCATAAAGAAACTCAAAAACCTTGAACTCGGATAGGTATCGCTGGAAAATTATTCGAAAATAATAATTTTGAAAAGAAAGACGGCGTTTTGCCAAGCCGCCTAGCGACAGCACGACGAACTACCGTAGTAATTCCTGGCGAAAGAACCACGTCTCTATCAACATGACAAGTTAAAATAATTCTAAAAGTTTCGTCATAAGGTGATTGTGATTGTTTGTCTACTAGTAATATTTGGGTTTTCGCCCGGAATCCTTATTCAAAAATTGAACATTTTCGAGGATTACACTTCGGTAATAAGCATATTTCTAGAATCTGTCTGAAAGTCGACAAAATTCAGCTTATTAGTAATAATTTTAGATAATTTTATTAGCTAGTTTCATAGCAAACGTGTCTCGTTTAGTGTTCGGACTTCTTCGGTAGAGCTCGTTATCGTTGATGGAATACGTGCTTTTGGTGAAACGTGAAACAACAGCGACGCATATAACATAGGTGGCGTTGTGTCAAACAATTCAGGGTAAGGTAAGAAACCCTTTATTTATTTTTATGGCTGTCTGCATGGAAAATACGAGATAACAGTGAATCGAAATGTTGTTTTGTTTGTGCTTAATGACGTCCGTGTAAATGTGGCAACAGATGACCGAAATTGTTGTGAAAAGTGTGCTGTTTTTAAGGAAATTTGTAACAGGTCATTAGCTTTGTTTATACTTTTTCACGTTTTTCTCCTAGTAGGGGATACTCATGCATGAACTTTGACATTGTTTGACGTAGCCTAATTATCCTAAAACCAGATTATGCTTTCGATATCGAAATACAAGTAGATTTTAACCACAAAAATTGTCTGAAAACATTGCTGCTGTCAAATTAGTTAAGCGTACGGTATCCTATCGGATGTTATAAAGTTGACACACCGGCAGGCTCCTAGCACTAGATGAAGGAGTTAGCCCCCCGGATTAAGAGGGGGCCACATCCTGCTTATTATAGGTGGCGCTGGTCGTTATTTTATCAAATGTTCGTGAATTAAATAAGCAATGTTTACTGAAATTGTTCAGCTTGTTGAGTGGGAAGAATGTGGGTCTGAAAATTACTATACAAAATGTTAGGTTAGAAAATTTGATTCGAATATAGGTGTCGAGGGGTGATTTATAGTAAAGAAGTATTAGCAATTTCTGCTTTATTTTGTTGGATATATATTTGTTTTTCTTAATTAAAATGTGATGAACGTTATAAAATAATGAAACAAACTTTCGAAAGTTTTGTTTTTAATCAGGAATTCAAATTTTAATGAAGGTACCTAGGTACCTATTTCTTTAACGAATTTGATTATTGAGGATCAGTTTGCATAATCTATTCAAAATTATAGATAACAGGTTTCGTAATTTTAATGATTTGTAATAAAATCCTATTTATCCTTAAATCCTGTAGGCATTCTAGTAAATAATTTTTTGGTAGGTATGTAGGTTAGGTACCTTCTTGACGTAGGTATTAACCTTGTTATCTATAGGCACTTTTTCAGGATGTTCATTAATGGAATATCTAGGCAGGTTATTTACACAGTGATTGTGATATTACTTATAGATATTTTCAAATGACAAGTAGTTCAAAATAAATGTGTCTTGTAGGTACCTATTAATGAATTAATTATTTAAAGATGTCCTGGGTATTCCTAAAAATTAACCACACTTTTGTCACAACCTTGACACTACTGACCAACAGATAATAGATAGATAGTCCTATCAAGATCAATATTTTTCTATTTTAATAAAATATATGAAAATGGAATGAATGTTGAACAAGGAAATATTTCTCTACATGATATAATAGATGCTATACCTCTAGATTTGTTTAATTCTTAGATAGGTATGTAAATAAATCTAACTCTTCTTATATCGAGTCCATCATTTATTTATTTATTTGGTTTATGTATAAAAGTTAAATAGTAGAAAAAGTATAGTATATAACATATAGGTCTGCAAATCACGTTTGACACAATTTACTAGGTATTTAAGTTATAGTATGCCTCTTTTGTATACTAATATTGTCGTTCCATGTCAAATTAATAATATGAATTTGCCTGTTAGGCTTTATATTACTTAAGGTACATACTAATATTGTTGTTCCATGTCAAAGTAGTAATATGAATTTGCCTATAAGGGTAGGTAGCTTTAACCACTTAAGGTACAATAAAAGAATATTCGTTTTGATAGTACCTACCTAGACAATTTAGGTTGTTCGATTTGAAAAACATATAATCTTATATTTGAGATATAGATCACATCCGATACAAAATATAACATAGGTTTGTAAATAAGTACTAACAAAATAAACTATATAGTTATAAAAAAACATTAATAACACTAGGAATATTATAATATACAGGATACTAAAAATGACACTATGTTGTTCATCGCCTTATTGTACTTTTTGATTTTACCATAAATTTTAGCAATATATCTATGTATATGGTTCTTATACCTTATTTTTGAATTTTTCTTTTAATTTTGGGATGTAGATGTTTTTGATTTTAAATGAAACTGCAGTTTTACTTTACGTTTTGTAAATCTTTTGGCTTCTATTTTATGTCTGCTTCAGAATTTTTTTATTTAGTTAATTTAATATTTTTTCTTTATTGATGGATCATTATTAAGTTTCTTATTATCTTATATATTTTTTGAATGGATGAACAAAAAATTAAATATCCAGCACACATCATCTGGATTATACATGTCCATCACATGCAAAGAGTTATAAGATAAACATGTTAATAGTATTAAGTAGGTACTTATTGATAGTAAAACAAATTTGTTATACACATGAAATAGTTAATAATAAGTTGTTAAAAAAAACACGCATTAATAAATAATAAAATTACTAAATAAAAAAGTACTGAAGAAGGTACAAAACAAAAGCCGAAAGCTATACAAAATATAAAGTAAAAGTAAAACTGTAGTTTTATTTAAAATCAGAAATAACACCTATATCCCAAAAAAGTAGAAGAAAAATCTGATGTATCCATTACAAGACATTCCTGTCTTAAAGTTATAGACTTTTTCTGGTTATTCTGTACAACCTATCATATCACCCCTATAAATGTTTAGAGGATGTACTAAATATACATTTTCCACACACATCTTACTCGAAACATTATTTATTTACATATATGCATGGCCAACAAAAAAACTGAAAAAAAAAAATTACACTTCCTCGAATTTTTCCATTTCGGTCAATTTTAGAGAAATCATGTACCTATAGAACAAAACTTATAGAGAATATCACAAACAACTTTGATTAGAACAATTTTTTTTAAATTTTTGCACTTTTTGTCAAATTACTTGAATAGGGACCATTTTTGGTAAATCATGTATGAGATAAAAATTATAGAGAATGACGTCACACGCAACTTTTATTTGACTAATTTTCTTCTCTAAGTGTTATATTCCGTAAAGTAGAAAAACGACCCCCTATAAAGTACCCCTAGATGTTCCGACTATGCCAAAATCTAATCAACTCATTAAGTTTAATGAATAGGGTTGTCACCTGTCCTTTTTCCAATCTGATAGTCCTTTTTTCAAACAAATTGTCCTTGTCACTTTTTAAACCTTACAAAAATGTCAATTTTTTAAAACTAAACTAGAATGAAGATATATAATGCTTGGCATTCTACTCTTCACAGTTTAACAGACCTCTCAATCCCCATTTTCAATCATATTTTTTTCTTTCTAAGGCTTCATCCTCTTATAAAGCTTGATTTTTCATGAAGATTTCAATTTGATATCATTTTTGTTTCAGATTTTTTCAATATTTCAACTCCCCTTATTTCCTCATTTTTATTTATGTATCCCCTTATAGAGCTTGATTTTTACTAAATATTTCATGTTGATATCGCTTTTGGTTTTTCATTTCAATATTTTTTTATTTCGACCTACCTTGACCCCCTACTTTATTCCTTTTTTTTTTTAATAGTCTAGAGTCAGGATTTTTATTTAATATTATTATTATTATCGAGGGGTCTTTCACTCTTGGCAATACATGTACGTTTTATGCGGTATTACTTGGCATTACGACGGAATTACGTGGTATTACTTGGCATTACGGTGGAATTACTCGGTATTACTTGGTATTACTTGGCATTACGACGGCATTACTGGTATTACCAAGGTATTACATGGAATTACGTTGGCATTACTTTGAACGCATGCGCTTGAACCTCCATTGTTAAATCATTTAATGTTGGTCTTTCGTACAGTGCAGTTGTTAGAAAGTGGTTTTTGCAAAAATTTATGTTTCAGGTAAGTAAATACATTTTAATTTGAGATTGATTGGTCAATTGAGATTTTAACTTGCTATTATAAAAAGCTAGAATTTTGCTTTTTAAATAAAAAATTTCAACACGTTTCATGAAATCGGGTAGAGTGGATGAGGTAGAGTTGGGTAAAGTGGGAGGTAAAGGTAGATTGGGGTCTAGTGAGGTAGAGGGGGATAAAGTGGGGCGGAGGCAGACTGAGAGTAAAGTGGGGTAGAGTGGGATAAAGTGGGGCGGAGGCAGACTGGGAGTAAAGTGGGGTAGAGTGGGATAAAGTGGGGCGGAGGCAGACTGGGAGTAAAGTGTGGTAGAGTGGGATAAACTGCGGTAGAGTGGGGTAGAGTGGGGCAGAGGCAAATTGGGAGTAAAGTGGGGGGTAGGGTGGAGTGGTGGGGGGTAGGGTGGAGTGGAGAGAGAAAAGAGACAATCTATATAACTAAACTGATTTTCAATGAACAAACTCTCCAATCACTTTATGGTACTTGTGAGCGAAAATGGCCGCGAGCAATACAGCTTTAAGCAATCTGTATACATATGTATATAATTGTCAATTGCCAAGTGTCAACTGTCATTGTAATTTATAATTTGGGAAATAAGTGAATATAATTCCTGATTCCCCTACGAAACAAAGAAAAATGCCCAAATTAAAACAAACTCAAGGAAAAATCGAAAAAGCTGGAAGCTTCAATTTATCCTCGAGTTTGTTTTCATTTGGGGGTGGATGTGGGTATTTTTCTTTGTTTCGTAGGGGGAATTGGGAATTATAATCACTTATTTCCCAAATTATAAATTTTAGTTTTCGGATCTAAACCGATTTGTTTTTCGTTCATTTATGTCGTAATGCCTAATCAATTTTTCTATCTCTTTTTTCCCTCTCTCACACACACACATCTGTAATATCTCTTATTGTCTAGTTTTTAAGAAGTTTTACTTCTCTCACGTGTACGGTAAGGCACGCGATTTTTTTTTTATAATTTGTTTCTGTAATATACCTATATATTAGATATTATGACTTCCACTACCAAATTTAATAAGATTTTTAAAAGTTACAAATTTTCAATAATCTGAAAGAAAATAAATGTCAAACATTCAAGATTAGAAATCACGTATTTAACAAGTAAGGCACTAAGGTAGTCACTAGTGACTAATAGTGAATTAACTCACCAGATCATGGTGGACATAGGGTTATATATTCATGGGTCTAAGTGGAATATTTTCA